GTGAGCACCACCATGCTCTTCTGAGAAAAGATGGTCTGGGCTGTGTTCTGGGGACCAATGGCCTGGCCGGGGGGCCATTCAGCTCATGACCCTGGGGACACTCAGCTCAGGCCTCTGGGCTGGTGGTTACCTCCCTCTTCTGTGATGATCCTTAAAGGCAGCAGAAATCTGACCCCTTCCGTATTGGTTCCTGTGGCTGTGGTAATAAATTATCACAAACTTGGGGGCTTAAAACAACAGAAATGTATTCTCTCAGTTCTGGAGGTCTGTGCTCCCTCGGAAGGCTGGGGGGAGGCTCCTTCCTGGCCCCTCCGAGTCTCCGGTCGCCCGTAGCCCGTGGGCATCAGCTGCTGTCTCACTGCATCATGCCTGTCTCTGCCTCTGTCTGCACACGGCCTTCTCCCCGGGGTGTGTCTGGGTCCAAGTGTCCCTCTCGCTATAAGGACCCCTGTCATTGGACTCAGGGCTTACCCCAATCCAGTAGGACCTCATCTTCATTAATTACATCTGCAAAGATTCTCTTTCCCATGAAGGTCACATTCACAGGTGCTGGAGGTCAGGACTTTGACATATTTTTTGGGGAGACACTACAACCCCCCCACCACTTGCCATCTCATTCTTTCCAACAAGGCCCTCCAGGCTTGGGTGTCAGAATACCTGGCGTCCGTTCTGGGCAGCGGCAGGCCTGGAGCCTGACGGTTCTCATCTGCCGGGAAGGGGTGAAGAGCTCCTTGAACCCGGAGCACCCGGAGGCGGTCCTGAGCCTCGCAGCCCACCCGCCCCCAGCCGCTCACACCTGCTTCATCTCCCTCCTTGCACCTGGACCTGGACCTGCCCAACCTGGTTTCTTCCTCAACCCCACTGTGTCCTAGGATTATTTCCCTCACTTGATGCAGGAAGAACTGAAGTGCAGTCAGGTGGGGTCCCGCAGCAGCAGGTTGGGGTTTTGAGGGGTCTTTGGAGTTAGCCGAAGGGAAGGGGGGCAGCCACGGTGCCAGGACACAGGGAAGGCAAATCCACCAGGTTCGGCTCTGCCTCCAGCCCCGCCCGGCCCAGCCCCCGCTAGGAGGATGCCTTGGTGACCAAGAGAACAAACCAAATTGGCAATGCCTCCCAGGCCTCTGCAGAGACCAGAGGGGACCTTGTGTTGTAGGATTTGTGTCCCTGAGTGCCCGCGGTTCTTGGTCGTGCAGCTTCCAAGAACGAAGAGGTAGACCGGACGAGAGTCGTGGGCAGCGAAGCAACGTTTATTGAGCAAGAGTACGAAGCTCTCGGAGAGGGAGGGAGGCCCGAGTGGGTTGCCCCCGGAGTTTCTAAGTTCAGGGGTTTTTATGAGCTCTTTTGTGGAACTTTCTTAAGCAATCAGGGTGTGCTGAGTCCTGCCAATCAGGGCTTTGGTCACGTATCTGTCTACCTATCAGGTTCATGTCCACGTGCTGATGGTCTTTTTTTGCTGACATCTGGTGGCTTAGGTCTTACCTGCTCTTTGCCGGTGACATTGACAAATGCTTTTGTGGGTCATTGTCTTATTTTAGGTCGTTCTGCAGAAGTCATTTCTGCAAAGGCTGCAAAGCAGAATGTCAGTGTAGTCCTGCCTAAGCTGCAAAGCAGAATGTCAGTGCCGTTTCATCTTAGCTGTCCTGACTCCATATTTTCTTGTTGGGGACCCTAGCCCTGACTCCCTAACTGTCCAACTCACTCCTAACACCTGCCCCCTCTGCTGCCCTCCAGCCTCCCTGATTTTGGGGAAGGATGCTGGTCAATAGCCTCCCAGGGCTCTCTTCTGCTCTTGAACTTGGGACGGTCTTGGAGTCAGCTGAGGCCCGTGTGCCTTCTTTGCCCTGGGCTGGACTTGGCCTCCTCCCTTCTCACCCTGGGCCATCAAGATTGGAAGGGAGGGCAGGGTTTCAAATGCTACATGCAGGCAGGTCCTCAACCGGACCAGACCTTCTGAGAGCTGAGCTGGGAGGTGGGGGAGCAGAGAGGATCTACCCCGTCTTAATGTCAGCCCAGTGGTTCACATCAGATGCTCAGCAGAAACACCAAGAGGAGAGCTTTTTAAAACTTCAGATGCCCACTCCTGCTCAGAGATGTAGGTTTCATGGGATTGCGGGCAGCCTGGATGTGGGGGGGGCGGTGGCTGACTCTCCCCAGGTGATTCCAGAGGCTGGTGAGGGACTTCATCAGACCTGTTACGTCACCTGTAAGCAGGGAGGGGTGGGGGGAGAGTGACGTCACCTGCAGGATGGTGGAGAGGCCAGCCTGGGCTTGTTATCTCCTCTGCTGTTCGGTGACGGGTGGGGGGCAGCACGCTGAAGAGGGGGGGCCTGGTGCTGGTCCAGGGCGGGGAGGGCAGAGAACCCACAGCCTCCCCCAGGCATCTGGGGTCTGCTTCTCCTTCTCTTCCTACCAGCCAGCGCCCCACACCCTCTGCCCCCACCCCACCTGAGTTCAAAGCTTGCCAGGATTCAGAAGTAGGCTCCTATGCAAAGAACTCTTAAAACCCAACAATAACATTTACAACGACGTGGATGGAACTAGTGGGTATTACGCTAAGCGAAATAAGTCACTCAGAGAAAGACAAGTATCATATGATCTCACTGATAAGTAGAATTTGAGAAACAAGACAGAGGATCATACGGGAAGGGAGGGGAAAATGAAATGAGATGAAACCAGAGAGGGAGACAAACCGTAAGAGACTCTTAACCTCAGCAAACAAACTGAGGGTTGCTGGAGTCGGGCGGGGGTTGGGGGGGAGGGATGGGGTGGCTGGGTGATGGACACTGGGAAAAGTATGTGTTGCAGTGAGCACTGTGAATTGTGTAAGACTGATGAATCACAGAACTGTACCCCTGAAACAAATAATACATTATAGGTTAATAAAAAGAAAAACAAAAACAAAAAACCCAATAAGAAACAAACAATTGATTAGAACTGGGCAGAAGACCCGAAGAGAACCCTCATAGGTGTCTTGCTGATGGCAAGTAAGCCTATGAGAAGATGCTCTGCATCCGATGCCATCGGGGAATTGCAAGTGAAAAATGAATTAAAAATAGATGGAACACCGAATGGTACCCGCGTGGTCGAGACCAGTGGTTCACAAGGTGGGCCCTGGGCTGCAGAAGGAGCATCCCCGAGCAGAACCCCTGGCCAGAAGGAAGTCCCGGCTCACAGAGGATCACAGAACTGCAAGCAGAGCTGCAGGCGGGGCATCAGGCTGGGCTGTCACCCTTTTGGGTCATTTGATCCTCACAGCAAGTTTGAAATGATCCCCCCCTTGCCCATCTCACTGCTTTTAAGCTGTGTGCCCTTGGGCAAGTTACTTAAACTCTCTGTGCCTCCATTTTCTCAACTGTAAAGGGGAATATATGCCCAGTAAGCATTAGCTAGGATTTATCTTGATCTGGCTCAGGCTCTTATCAAAATAGTGCTCTCTGACCTCACAGAGGCCAGCCTGAGGTGAAATGAAGTGGGCACAGCCGGGCTCGTCAAACAGGGTCCCTGGAGCCACGGTGCGGGGGTTGGGGGGCCCCTGCAGGGACTGCCCTTGGGCAGCCTGACCCAGAGAGCTCCAGCCTTGCAGACCCAGGCACCCTGTGTGTGCCGAATGACAATATGCAGCAGGGGCCGGGGCCCCGATAGACAGCCCCCGCCCAGGGCGTCCCAGGAAAAGATGAGAAACAGCACACGCCTCCTCCGCACCTCACATCCCAATAAAATATTTATTATTGCAAGAAATAAATCTTTAAAAAAAGAGAGAGAGAAAAGAGTGTCTCTATTGCTTTCCCCCGACAGGTCAGGTCCTTGGTGACCACTGAGTTTCTGTGGCCGCAGGGGCCACCCAGGCCCGGAGAGGGGTCTTGGATGCGAGGGCCCCTGCTCAGCCCCACGAGGGCTGGCTCCCCTCTGCCAGCTCTCAGGGCCTGGGCTGCCTCCCTGGCAGGGTGGAGGGGCAGGCCTGGGGTGGGGGGGGGAGTTGCCTGGTGGGCGGCGGGTGGGATTATAAAATGGGGTGGGGTGGCAGTGTCTCTGAAGGCCCTACCAGTTTAATCAGGCAGGGCTCTGGGCACGGGGAGGAGGGGAAGGGGCATCCTGGGGCTGGGGCAGGCATACCATACAGAGATGACAATTGGGTCCAGGGGTGGTTTGAGGCTGGAGGAAGCTGGAGGTGGGGACGGGCAGCATCGAGGGGGTGGGGGCTACCTGGGGGCTAGTGGACCTGGGACGCCAGGAGCTGGGCTGGGCGTGCCATGGGGCCGAAGCTCCACCCCAAGCCTTTGCCGATACGAGATGCTGGGGGGTGGGGTTCCAGAGCCTGCTGGGCTGGGGACTGAGGCTCTGGGGACAAATCCACAGCCTGGAATCACAGTCATGCCAAGATGAGTTTTGGGAGAAGCCCAAAGTGGAAAGAGCTGGAGCAAGCAGGAGAGGGAAACAGTTAACCCAGGAGCTAGGTGGCCCCCCCTCCTGCTGCGCCCCCCAAGTATAGAAGGGAGGGGGAGATGGCCAAGGCAGGAGGGGTGGGGCTGAGAGGAGGCATGAACAGGGTCCCCCAGTCCCTTGCTCCTTTTGTCCATACCCCCAAACTACCACAGAGGGACAAGACTGACCCCTCACACATCACTCCCCTCTCCCTGGACCCTTCAGCGGGCCATCGGGCACACTGCCCCTGCTCCCTCCGCGTACATTCTGAGGCCCCATCCTGGGCCTAAGAAGGACCAGGGCCCTTAGTCTGGTCCAGAATTGGCCTTGCCCAAAGCAAGGGGCCTCTGACCACCTGCTCCTGCCACTGCGGCCCCTGGCCAATCCCAGAGCTGCTCGGCTACGACGCTGCCATGAGCCCCGGGACGAGGTCGAGGAGCCTGCCTGGGGTGGGCACCCGGCCCGTGGATGAGCGGCCCGCCCCTAATCCTGTGCACAAGTCTGCTCTGCCCACTTCCTGGCCAAAGAAGAAGCTCCAGCGCAGGGGCGTCGAGGGGAGGGCGGGTCGCTGGAGCTCGGAATCTGCTGGTGCTTTCTCCGGCGGCAGGGAGGGCCAGACGGGTGGGCGCCCTCACAGACAGTCCTGGCACAAGGCCACCTGGCCCTTCCGGAAGTCTCGGCAGGGACAGAGCCGGTGGTACTTGGTGCTGGAGCCTGCACAGCTGAAGAGCAGAGGCTCCTTCTGCAGGAAGCACTCGTGGCCGGGCTGGGCGAAGGCCGGGTACAGGTGGTTCATCTCTGACTCGGTGCTGTCACAGGGCACCTGCAGCCTGGACAGGCACCGCGGGCAATGGTCACGGCCCCAGCCTGGGATCGCCCCCTCCCCTCCCCGGCCCATCCCATCCCCAAGCAGGGAAGATGTCTCTAGGGGGCACCAGGCCAAACCCCAGGCCGCAGCTCCTTCTCCCGGCTGTGAGAGAGGAGGACAGGAGGGGGGCTGGGCTGAGCTGCAAGCTGACCCACTGGGAGGAACCCTGGGCCTAGAAGATGCTGGGACAGGCTCGGCAGAGGCTGAGGGAGGGGTGGGGGTGGGCGGGGATTGTCAGGGGCTGAGGCTTCACCAAGACGGTGGCAGCCGTGACATGGACACCTGTCCCAGAAGGGACCATCCTGACTCACGGGGGAGCATTAAACCCCCCACCACGGGCAGGGCTGAGGGCAGGGCAGTTATGGGGTGACGAGCTGCAGGTGAGTGAGGCTGGGCCAGCCCAGGAAGGCGGGCAGGGGGGCAGGGGGGCGGGAGGGCGGGGGGGGGAGGCTCACTTACTTCTGGAAGGCGTCCTGGCTGTTGAGGAAGGGGAAGAAAGAGGGCTCGCAAATCAGCCCGTGGTCCAGGCACGCGTCCGTGCAGGCCCTCCCAGCGGTGGCCAGCCAGGCCCGGAGGGAGTGTGCTGGGGGCCAGGCCCCGGGGGCGAAGCTGGCATTCTGGGTCCACTCCAGGTGGGTAGCATTGGGGGCCAGGACGAAGGGACTCAGTGGGGCCCGGGCCCCTGGTGGGGCAGGGCCTGGGGCTGCACAAAAGTCCTGGCAGGAGGAAAGCCACGTCAGCCGGGAAAGGGGACACAGATGCCACGGGTTGACACCGGGGGGGGAGGCGTGGCCTCGGGGAAACAGAGGCTCAGAGAGGTCACAGAACCTGCTCAGGGCCTCAAAGCTGGATGGCAGAGGCAGAATTTGAACTCAGGCCAGCCTGAGAGCCACCCGCCCTGCACGGCCTCGCAGCCCATCATACTTCGGTTAGGGGCAGTTTCTACCCTGAAGCCCATGGGCCCTAGCGGCAGAGGGGCAACGGGCCGGGGCTGACCGGCGGGGCTCTCCCTGCAGGGCTCAGCTCCAGGAACCACCTGTGCGGCCCAGCAAGTGTTTCTGTGAGCTTCAGGATGACATCCCTGTGGCTGGCTGGGGGCCGAGATCCCGGGTTCCGGCCCTGACCCAACCCAGCCCTCCCTGCCGGGGGCCTCAGTGTTCCTGTCCGTAAAGCAATGGTCTAGAGCCACTCTCCAGCCCTTAATGTTGGGGGACAAGGTGCAGACACAGGCCCCAGGCTATCTGTCTGAATATCCAATGGTTAGAAAGCAACCGACACCTAGTCCTGTGGCCCAGTCAGGCCCTGCCCCTCCCAGCCATCAGCCCTAGAAGCCCCGAGCCTAGAAGAGAGGCTCAGATACCCGGGCCCGAGGGGGAGGCGGGACTTCTCCAGCGGCCCCTTCCCCTGGGTTCTCAGCACGGAGTCATCTCCACCGCAGTCTCACCTGCTCATCCCCGGGGTGCGGTGGGGAGTGGGGGCTTTCCATACCCACCAGTCCCTCAACCAGTTACCAAACTTTTAAGCACCTTCTTTATCAGAACAACAGTCTTTGTGTTTCTGTGTTGTGGTACTGGGCTGGGTTCTAGAGCTGGAGAGCCAGAGCCCCCCGACCCGCCCAGGCCCCGGTCTCTAAGCAGGAGAGCAGGACGGCCCTGCATCTCCATGCCCACACTCGTGCGTCTCCAGGGGAATGGGAACAGACAGGTGGGGGAGGAGCAGGAGTTTAAGGGGCACAGAGCCCTTGCGGAGAGAGCTTCCTGGGGCACTGGAGATGGCTAGGCCCCCTCCTCTGGTCTGGTGGGGTTTCGGGTAGCCCCTCCCACCCTCCCCCCCACCCCTGGAGCAGAGAGCGGAGGGCCCACCTACTTGGTGCTGGATGTAGGCATGGATTCGCTCCAGCATCCCCTCACAGGTATACTCGTAGGGCAGGTAGGGGTCTACCTGTGGGAGAGATGGGCAGACACATGGGGCAGGAGGCACCCCGGGCCCCCTTAGACCTGGCTGTTGCGGGGGGTGGAAATCTGGCGTGCCCAGGGAGTCCATCACCCCGTCTCCCCGGCCCCTCCACTCGGACCCCTGGCACACCCTCCAGTGGCCCTGGGGGTCAACCCACTCCCTCCCGCCCCCTTCCCAGCTGCACTCCCCATCCCCTCCTGGGCTATGATGCCTGCTCTTCCCACAGCCAACCAGATGGATTCACCCTCCCTTAGGTGACACCTCCTCCAGGAAGCAGTCCCTGAGCCCCAGGCCACCCATTACAGGACCACTTTCCTTCGTGGCACCCGAGAATTCCTCCAGCACCTGTGTCATCATTTCTGATTTACCCCTCGTGTCTCCCGAGTTACAGGTCCCTTGAGAACTGGACTATGGCTCGTCTCGTCTACCACTGAGCCCACTGCCCGGCATAGTGCCTGGTATACAGTAGGTGCTCAGGAAATAGCATCTCCAGCTCTGCCTGTATTCTGCTCAGAACGAAGAATGTTCACGAAAAAGAACACAATGGCATCTCCCTGTCAGATGGAATGAGATGAATCGGTAAGGCTTCCTGCCCAGGCCACGCACCTGGGAAGGACCTAAGACACGCGTCCGCAGCAGAGGCCAGACCGTCCGTCTAAGGAGCTAACGGTTACACGACAGCCTGCACTGGGGGTGGCTGGGAGCAGGTGGGTGGAGGAGCTGGGGACTGAGGAGCAAGGGGAATAGAGAGAAGCGTGAAAGGGGGTGTCCACCTCCTGTGAGTCGGTACCCCAGCACCTCTGCACTCGTCTTAGCTGACCAGCCTCTCCCCGTTTACCCCGTCCAGTACACAGCCCCCCTGGAGGAAACCCGTGGCTGGACAGGGACGTGGGGATGACCCGTCCCAGACTCAGACTGGGCCTTCGCCCTCCCTTCTCCCCAGTGTGTGTGTGTGTGTGTACATGTGTGTGCACGGGCGTTGTGTGTGCACGTGTGTGTACATGTGCGCGCGCGTGTGTGTTGGTGTGCAGTGTGCACGTGTGTGCGCGTATGTGTTGGGTGTGCGCGTGTGCACGCGTGTGTTGTGTGTGCACGGGTGTGTGTACATGTGTGCACGTGTGTGTGTTGTGTGTGCGCGTGTGTATGGCATATTGTTTGTATGTGTGCGTGTCTGTGTGTATGTACGTGTATCTGTGTTTTGCGTGTGTATGCTGTGTGTATGTGTGTGTGCAGACATATCTGTGTGTGTATGTTGTATGTGCGGGGATGGGCACCCACCTGGCCCAGCCCAAATCCGACTTATGCCCTTTTCCAGCCAGCAGCCCGGGTTGTGTGATCTAACCCTCGTTCCCAGGTGGGAGGGGCCTCCCGCCCCCTCGTCAGAGCTGAGCAGCACCAGAGGCCCCCTCAGCTGTGCCGGGCGGGTCCTGCTTCCTGCAGACCCCACCTCAAAGGGCTGGAGGCCCATCCTGGGCCCTCTGCCTAGAGGCATCCCTGACCCTCAGGCTGCTGCTCCCCTTGAAATGGGTTCAGGCCACCAGAAGTTTCTCGGGACAAGAGCGCACCCGGTGGCCTTTCCCCAGCTCCCACTGTGAGCGGCCATTCTTAATCTGGGGGCAGTTCCGGATCCCCAGAGAAGCCCAGGTCCTGCACCGGCCACCACCGCACAGCCCAGCCACCGGGCAGCCTTCCCAGCCCTGCGCTGTGCACCTCTGGGTCCTGACCTCGGCCGACAGCCACAGCGACCCCGGCAACCAGCTGCTGCCCCGCAATGCCCTGGACACCCCTGGGGTACACGACTTCCAGCCCTGGTTATAGATAACCCCCCAGAGGAGAGAGTTCCCCTCTAAACGTCACTCTGCCTGCTCCACGGTCACTCCCCCCCGGCGCTTTGAAGCCCATGTCACACGGTAACTTGCATCAGCCGGCCACGTCCCCCCCCTGCCATGAGTCTCCGCCCGAGGAGCCGGCCTGCCTGGAAATGACCCTCATTAGGCCTAGCCACAGGTGCGCACAGTAACCAGTCTCGACCGGCCGGCAGGTGCTGGTCCTGCACGGTCATGAGCACGGGAGGGAGGGGGTGGGCAGGGGCTGGCCTGGCCTCCCCCACCCCACAGAGAGGTGCCAATGGCAAACCCACCCACCCCTGAGTCGGGGGGGCAGCGGGTCTCTCTCAGCTCCTCCCTGTGCCTCGCTTTTCTTCTTCCCTCTCCCCGTGAAAGGCCCCAGGACTTGCAGAACAAGCTGTGTTCTCTGACGGTGGCCCTCAGTCAGTTCTCTAAAATAGGATTATGAGAGCGGCCCAGGCTGCTTGTTGAAAATGCAGATGCCAAGGCCACACCTGGGCCTTTAGAATCAGAAGACAGGAAGGGGGACGCCTGGGGGGCTCAGTCGGTTGGGCGACTGCCTTCGGCTCAGGTCATGATCCTGGAGTCCCGGGATCGAGTCCCGCATCGGGCTCCCTGCTCGGCGGGGAGTCTGCTTCTCCCTCTGACCCTCTTCCCTCTCATGCTCTCTATCTCTCACTCTCTCTCTCTCAAATTAATAAAATCTTAAAAAAAAAAAATCAGAAGACGGGCCCAGGACCCACATTTTAACCACCTCCCAGGTGATTCTTGGTAAGGGGGTGAACTGCCCCGGGGGAGGGGTGGGACCCCTGAAGGGGCTGAAGGCAGCGGGGTGGTCAGGTTTGGGGCCCACCTGCAAGCCTCAGCTTGGCAGACTTGCAAAACTTTGGTTCCTTGACCCTTTTTGTTATTGTCATTTTTTAATTAACTAATTAACAAAATTAAACAGATGTGCATGTGAAAAATAAAAGGAAAACCAATGTAAAGTAAGTTTCCTCCCACCCCAGACACCCAGGTCCGTCCCCAGGGCGGCGATTTCTCCCGTGTCCGACCAGAAAGAGCACACGAACGCATGGGCACGCTCACTTGCAGGCCCCTCGGCACCCCCGTTGTGTTCTGCAGCTGGAACGTGCTCCCCACAGGACTGGGTATCTTGCTCCTTTAGCTCAGCAACAGATCTTGCTAAGATCTATTGGGCCAGACCTGAGCCCTCGGGGTGGGCAAAAGCCTTGCTGGTCTCCCTTCCACCCCCTGTCCTTGTCCCCTCTTCAGGGGGAGGGGAGAAGGAGCAGGAGGAAGGTGTGGGGGTGGGGGTTGTCTCCAGGGTAGCCATCTGGCTTGCCGGGGGGGCCTTCCAATGCAGCGTCCACCTGGGATGTAGAGTGCTGTGCCACCGCTCGGGGCTGGGGTTGGTCAGTTGTCGGCAGTGGCTTCTTTCTTCTATACCGAGGCCACCTGGAGAGGCCCTCACCCAAGGACTGTCTTGTTCAGCCCAGCGAGGGTCCCCAGTTGCAGCCCTCAGTCAGCAATGGACGGAGCTGGGGATAAACACCCTGGGTTTACTTGATTCTCAGGTAGGACAATCTGGGGTGTGACCTACCCCATCAGTCAGAGGTCCCCGCCAGCACTGAACGCCAGGTGCCGCCGGCCGGGGTGACCTACTCCAGAACACAGCGTCTCACTTTATCACTCCAGGACCCTCCTTCCTCAGATCACGTCCCAAATAAATGGCTTGTGCCTCGGGGTCACCCTCTGGAGGAACCCAGTCTAAGCCCGTGACCTGGAGGAACTCACAGTTAGAGATTTGCTCAAGCTGATGCTTAAGGAATGGAGGGCGCCCCCCACCGCTCCGGGAGGGTCCGGGGGCTCAGCCACGTCCGTCACGACTAAAGATGGGTGGAAGCTATGCCACACAACGTTCTTCTGGGCACTTCACTAGACAAACACTCACCCCAGACAGAAGGACGGAAGGCTGAGAGTGTGCTCAGTGAAGGAAGGGAGGAGGGGTAAGTAGGGATTTTCTGGGGGCATCTGCAGGGGCGGGGGCCAAGGCTGGGGGTCCTGAGTGGGAGTGAGTGATAGTGAATGCAGGGGGGTATTAAAAAAAAAATGCCAGACTGCCTCCGGGTCAGGACAACCAGGCCAGAGCTCTGGGTTCAAAGCTAAGCCGGTAAGTCCCCCTGGGGGGTGTCTATCCCTGCTTGTCTCTGCCCTTGAGCCTGGCAGTGCCCCCAGCTCCCCTGGGGCAGCAGACCTGCTGGCCAGCTGTGGCCTCCCGGGGCGTGGCTCTCCCTCGCAGAAGGAGCCGGTCTATCACGTCACTCACTTGTGGTGGCCCCGCCGAGACCAAGGCTTTCCAGGTCTGCCCCAGATGTTCACCCTGAGTGGTACATACTCTGCCCCCAGGAGGACACACTCCGTGAACATGGGGTTGGGCAAGGAAGGGGACACCCACAGGGCTGGTTATCTTTGTTCAGCCTCGTGTCCAAGCTACAGCAAGAGGCGGGTCCAGAGGGAACATGGCGAGCAGAGCGCCATTTGCATGGTCTGACCCCTTTCCAAAATGAAGGAACCAGAAGAGCTCGGGGGGCCATCAGAAGCCACAAAGGGGCCTGCCGAGGGGATAAGTTGCACAAGCCCCTCCTCACTCTCTCCCCACTTGCACATGTGCACCTGCACACACCAATGCTCACATACCTGCTGAAGGAAACCCAGAAAGTTCTTTCCCCTTGCTACTCAAAGGGTGGCCCTAGGCCTGGCACTACCCCAGACCTGCTGAATCCAAACCTGCATTTTAACAAGATCCCCAGGTGACGTGTAGGCCACGTATAGTTTGAGATATGCTGTCAAAAGGCCACAGACACACACCAACAGCAGAGTTCCAAGAGCCTCCATGCACTAATCCTGGAAACATTTACTCAGCACCTAACTTGTACTAAGAGTGCTCATGGGGCTCAGCCTCCAAAGGTGCTTAATAAATGATTCTGGATCCAGGGCTGCCATGTAAGGTTGTACAGGTTGTTCATAGCACAAAGGTATTTCCCTGCCTCTCCTTCCCCCCATCCCTATACTCAAGTTGGTAAGTGGGGTCAAGCACAACCCAGGCCTGCGAGTCTGAATTCACCAAGAAGGGCATCTTTTTCCAATTAGAGCTAAGACTCCCCAGTAGTGGCTAATGAGAGTCCTGACTGGATCTGAACCTCACCTGGGTTCTCATGATGGCCTTGATGGCTGCTTCAAACTCCTCCGAGTTGTTGTAGTCGACGGTCCACACGTGGGGCTTGCCAATGAAGTTCTCTGCATAGGGATGCTGGGAGAACACCTGGCCGGGCAGAGAGAGCAGCAGCTTCTCCCTGTGCCTGCCAGGCCGGCCCGCGCTCAGGGGAGGCGCCCCCGCCCACTTGTCCTGTCCGTTCCTTCACCCCCTGCCTGTCTCCCTCTTCCAGGGACTGCAGGGGTCCCCATCTCAGACCCTCCCCACTCACCTCTCTGGAGGTGGGCTTGCCTCGGAAGAACTCGTGGTTGAGTGAGCTGTGGGGCGGGCTGAAGCGGGACTGGAGGAAGACGCAGCCGTTGGCGATGGCCTCCAGGGGCGCGGGGCCCTCGTAAGGGAAGCCAAAGCCTATGAAGAGCTGAGGAAGCGAGTGGCACAACAGTCAGGGAAGGCTGGGCACCAGAGCCCCAGCAAGCCAGGGCTGGGACATTCACGGGGGTGGGGCGGCCGGGGCAGGAAAGAGCACCCAGACCGGCACGGTGCCATGGCATGCACCGCCCCTCTCTGGGCCTCAGGTTCCCGGTTGTGAAATGAGGAGGTCTGATTAGGTAATATCAGGGGTCTCTTCCTGCTCTAGCGGGCTATGATCCTGGAGGGGAAAAGAGAAGAGGATCTCAAGCTTAGAAGGCTGAACTTAAAGGACCTTTACTCATCCTAAAAACAGTTAATCGGCACCTAACTCGTGCCAGGAGTGCTCACAGGGCTGGCCCCCGGAAGGCAATCAAGAAATGATTCTGGGGGGTGCCTGGGTGGCTCAGTTGGTTGAGCAACTGCCTTCGGCTCAGGTCATGATCCCGGAGTCCTGGGATCGAGTCCCACATCGGGCTCCCGGCTCAGCGGGGAGCCTGCTTCTCCCTCTGACCCTCTCCCCTCTCATGCTGTTTCTCTCTCTCTCGCTCTCTAATAAATAAATAAAATCTTTAAAAAAAAAAAAAAAAGAAATGATTCTGAACCCAGGGCTGCCGTGTAAGGTTGCTCAGATTGCTCACTGCACAAAGCCTCTCCCCCTGCCCCAACGCACAAGGCTAGATCAGGAGAGGACCTGAACGCTGGCTGGAGGCCCTCCAGCCTCAGCTGAGCCCTCGGGGCCCAGCAGCAGAGTCATGCCCACCGTGCCAGGTGCTGCTCCAGGAATACAGCATAGGACTTCCAGAAGCAGTCCATCAGAACTAGTAGGCCCATGGAACTCCAGCTGGGACATGCCCTCAGCCTGCCCTACCATCCTTTCAGCAGCTCCGAAAGCTAGGCCTGGCCCAGGAGTCTGCGGGGCTGCCCTGGTACTGAGGGGTGAGAAGGGAAGCCCGCTTCCTCTTCCCCACTGCTGAGCCTCTCTGCTGGCCCTGCCCAGGTCCCTCCTGGGTAAGCACCCCCAGCTCTGCCGCCAGCTCTGCCCCGGCCCCAGGAGGCCTGGACGTGAGGTTCAGGGTAGCAGAGCATGCTGGGGCAGGTCTACATGTGGAAGGGGCCACCAGCCACGGTGGCAGGCCTGGGGGGCACGTAGAGTGACCTCCTCAGCCTCTGTGGCCAGGCTGGGGTGAGGACGGTGAGGGCGTGGGGCTCACTTTGGCCTTGCGTAGCAGCTGCTGGAATTCGGGCTGTGGCAAGAGGCCGTGGTTCTTCACGAAGGCCGGGACCTCAGGGGGCCGCTGGCTCTCATAGTACACGGTGCCATGGATCTCCATGTACTTGTTCAGGATGCCCAGGAACTTCTCCTTCCCCTGGAAGAGGAGGGGGTGCAGATGGGAGCCTCGCCCCAACTGTGGAAGGCAGAGCTGTCCGTGGAAACACCCCTGGTCTGGAAGTCAGAAAATGTGGGGCCGGTCTTAGGTTGGCCTTCAACCAGCTGTGTGACCCTGGGCAAGGCCCCTCCCCTCTCTGGTCCTCATTTTCTTCATCTGTGACTTGCAGAAGTTGGACTAGACTATTCTTAGCCATGGAACTGTTTTCTCTGCAAAGAATCCCTATCCCCTTTCCCACATTTAAATGCATCCAAATGAAGTTGCTCCGCCCCCCTGAACCGCTGGTGATCTCCAAGGCCACCTGAGGAGCTGTGGGGCCGAGATCATCTCATCCATCCATCCCTCCATGCTTCCATACATACGTGTGTCCATCCCTCCTTCCATCCATCCACTCATCCCTTCTCTCTCTCTCTCCCCTTTCCTCCATCCATGTAGCACATTTTTATGAGCACTTGCTATGTGTTGGCACTGAGCTCACTGCTGGGAGCACAGCTGGGACAAGACAGAGCCCTTGTCGGGGCGCCTGGGTGGCTCAGTCGTTAAGCGTCTGCCTTCGGCTCAGGTCATGGTCCCAGGGTCCTGGGATCGAGCCCCGCATCAGGCTCCCTGCTCCGCGGGAAGCCTGCTTCTCCCTCTCCCACTCCCCCTGCTTGTGTTCCCTCTCTCGCTGTGTCTCTCTCTGTCAAAAAAAAAAAAAAAAAGACAGAGCCCTTGTCTTTAAGGACACCTGTGAGTGAAAACCCCCCAAACTAGCAAAGGCTCAGCCCCTCCAGACTCCAGTCCCACATCCAGGCTCTGCTTTCAGCCCAGCCCAAGGGAGCTGGAAACAGGCCCAACCTCGGGGGGAAGGGGACAATGGGAGGCAGAGCATAGATGAACCGATAACAGCTCTGCCCCTGGGCACCCGTCTGACCCCATGGCCAGAGCCCTGAGCCAGGAGCTGTGGTCAGTGTAGGACCTCATTAGGGGTAAGCATGGGGTCTGCCACTGGGTTCTACTTCTTGCAGGCTTTTGAGACTCACAGAAGAGAGGAAGGGATACGCTGACAAGAAAGGAACTTCAAGATCACAGAGAAGGCTGGGGCAGGGAGCGGTTTTTTCAGGGAGGGCTAGTCCCCAGCAGGCTAACAGGTCAGAAAAAAAGAAGCCAGGTTCTCCACATCCTGCTGGCTAGCCATGAGGTTGGACAACAAGGAGCTTTGGCCCAGGTTCAGTCTGTAAACCACAGCTCTTGAAGAATATTGTCAATGGACATCAAAATAATTAACAATTCACATTTCGAAACTCCAACGGTATACACTGTTCATAAGGAGGCCTTCTCCTTGGGTAACGGTGTCCTGGGTAATGCACATCAGCCCTGCCTCTGAGAACAACCAGGAAAGACAGGGAAATATAAACATTTCTGTGAAGGTAGTGAAATCTAACAAAGCATGCAGAATTAGAAGGCCAAGATCTGGAAGAAGAAGGGAAGGAGATCGTGGAGGCCAGTGCTGGGGTCAGCGTCCCCCCACCCTGGGGGCACCTGCCGATTCCAGGGTCAGCATCAAGGAGGCTGAGCAGAGCTTCTGGTTGCCTTGTACAGCCAGAGGACTAGCAAGAGTTCAGGGTCTGCCGAGGGGGGACCCTGATGGCAACTCCACACTGGGGGTTGGAACTCTGAGGAATTACACGCTGGAAGAAAAAGGGTGGGCCAGACCTAGAGAAGCCCCTACAGAGGCTGAGTCTGTGTTTTTGTGTGTGTGGGAGGGGGTGTCTTTTTTTTTAAGTTTTATCTATTTATTTTAGAGAGAGAGTGAGCGAGAGCACAAGCAGGAGGGGCAGAGGGAGAGAGAATCTCAAGCAGACTCCGCACTGAGCGCAGAGCCTGACACGGGGCTGGATCCCAGGACCCTGAGAACAGGACCTGAGCCAAAACCAAGAGACAGATGCTTGACTGATGGAGCCACCCAGTCACCCCAGGGGCTGAATCCATTTTAAACGGTCTCAAGTCCTATCATTGATTAAGGTGATCCAAGATTGCTAAAGCTCCAACCACAAGCTAAGAGTAAAAGTAAAATCCTCTCTGGAAGAAGAGGGCATCATCCCCAAACTATTTTTACAATTTTTTATATTCATTTTCCAGAACTCCAAAACAAAACAAAAAAACAATGAAATCCCAATCAAAACCCCAGCAGGCTTAGAAGAAACAACTTTGAAAAAGAAGAAAGCAGACAGATTTATATTACCTGATTTCAAGACTTATGGTAAAACTACAGTAATCAAGGCAGTGTGCTATTGGCATCAAGACAGATCAATGCAATAGAACAGAGTCCAGAAATAGACCCACACACGCATGGTCAATTGATTTTTGACAAAGGTGCAAAGACATTTCGGTGGAGAAAGGATAGTTTTTTCAACAGACAGCCACGGAACATTGCATATCCACATGCAAAAAAGGGAAAGAATTAGAACTTCAATCTGTACTTCATATCATATACAAAAGTTAATTCAAAATGGACCATAGATTTAAATTAATACTATAAAACTTACAGAAGAAAGCACAGGAGAAAAATCCTTAGTGACCTTGGGTCAGGCAAAGATTTCTTAGATACGACACCAGAAGCATAATCCATAAAACACCGGACTTCATTAAAATGAAGCACTTTGCTCTTTGAACAATGCTACTAAGAGAAAGACAAGCCACAGACAGAAAATATTTGCCAACCATATATTTGATAATAGACTGATATTCAGAATGTGTACAAAACTCTAACAACTCAATAATAAGAAAACAAACAACCCAATTTAAATGCACAAACATTTTGAAAAGACACTTTACCCAATAGGGAAGACAAATAAGCACACAAAAATATCTTCGCCATCATTAGTCATAGGGAACTACAAGTTGAAACCCTAAGATACCATTGCACATCTGTAGGATGGCTCAAATCGAAAAGATGGACCATGCAAGTATTGATGACTTTGTAATGGAACCGGAACTCTCATACATTGCTGGTAGAATCGTCAAATAGTACGACCACTTTTACTAAAATGTTAAACCTAGTTCCACCATATGATCCAGCCATTCCATGCCTAGGTATTTACCCAAGAGAAACGAAAGCATATGTCTGTACAAATGTTTGTACATGAATGTTCATAACAGCTTTATTTGTAACGGCCAAATACTGGTAACAACCCCAATGTCCACTAACAGGTGAACAGATAAAAAAGGTGTGGTGGAATACAATGGAATCCCATGCAATGGAATAACTATTCAGCCATAAAAAGGAATCAACAATCGATACGTGCAATGACATGGATGAATCTTGAAATAATTATACTCTGAGAAAATCCAGACCAAAAAAATGAGTATATACCATGAGTCCATTTATATAAAATTATAGAAAATGAAGACTAATCTGTGGTGACAGAAAGCAGATCATGGGCTGTCTGGCAGGGAGGAGGGGAGAGGAGGGGAAAAGGGAATTGGGCATGGTGGATGTATCATCCTGACTGTGGAGATGGTTTCACAAGTAAACATGTATGTCAGAACTTATAAATTATATATTTGAAACATGTGTAGTATACTGCATGTCAATTATACTGCAGTAAAGCCTGTTAAAAATAGATTTTTAAAGAAAAAATTCAAACACCTTGATTTTTAGAAAAATCAGGTACATGATAATATGATTAAAACCCAAGAGACAAAGGGGTGCCTGGATGGCTCAGTTGGTTGAGTAGCCGACTCTTAGTTTCTGCTCAGGTCATGATCTTGGGGTCGGGAGATTGAGCCTTACGTCAGGCTCTGCACTCAGCAGGGACTCTGCTTGTGGATTCTCTCTTCCTCTCTCTCTGCTCTTCACCCAGCTTGCTCGCACACTCTCTCTCAAATAAATAAATAAATCTTAAAAAAAAAAAAAACACCCAAGAGACACAGACAATAAAAACAGACCCGAAGGAGATCTAGAAGATGGAATTACCAGATACAGACTTCAAGATAAATCTGCTGAATGTAGTCAAGGGAACAGAAGATAAGGGTTTGAAACCAAATGGAAGTGCTCGAAGTAAGAAATCTGGTGGCTGAAATTAAGAACTGAACGTACAGGTTTCACAGCAGATTGGACCCAGATGAAGAGAGAATTCATTTAGTGAAAAAACAAAAGAAAACATCCAGACTGAAGCACAGAGGAAGGGTGGAAATCACAGAAAAGAATGTAAGAGACAAGGGGATATGTTGGAGTCTAATGTATGCAGAAATAGAGTCCGAGAAGCACAGGAGAGAGACTGGAGCAGAAGCAATACTTAGAGAGATACTAACTGAAAATTTTCTAAGACTAATGTCAGATCAAACCACAGATTCAAAAAGATCTACGAACACCATGCAGGATAAGTCCAGAGAAAACCACTTGGAGGCACATCATAGTAAGTCTACTGAAAACTAAACACACAGAGGTCTTTTTTTTTTTTTTTTAAGATTTTATTTATTTATTTGGCAGAGAGATACAGAGAGAGAACAAGTAGGCAGAGAGGCAGGCAGAGGGAGAGGCAGAAGCAGACTCCCCGCTGAGCAGGAAGCCCAATGCGGGGCTCAATCCCAGGACTCTGGGATTATGACCTGAGCCGAAGGCAGCCACTTAACCGACTGAGCCACCCAGGCGCCCCTAAACACACAGAGGTCTTAAAAGTGAGCAGAGAAAGAAGACAAATTACCTTTAAAGGAACAAGGCTCCCAGAAACCAGAAGACAATAGAGTCTTTTCATAACACTGAAAGAAAGTAACAGCCAAGCTAGAATTCTGTACACAGCAAAAGTATCCACTAAGAATAAGGGTGAAGTAAGGGCATTCTCAGGAAATCAAAATAAAATGAGAGTACACAGGCGCCTGGGCGGCTCAGTTGGTTAGGCGACTACCTTCGGCTCAGGTCATGATCCTGGAGTCCCAGGATCGAGTCCTGCGTCGGGCGGCTCCCTGCTCAGCAGGGAGTCTGCTTCTCCCTCTGACCTTCCCCCCCTCCTGCTCTCTCTCTCTTTCTCATTCTCTCTCACAAATAAATAAATAAATAAATAAAATCTTTTTAAAAAAATGAGAGTACACAAGCTGGGGGGAGGTAATTAAAGCATTTTAAGGTTCTTTTATTGTCCAATAAAAGGGAAAGGTATTGATTTATACGAGACTTTGATAAGTCAAGGATGCACGGTGTCTTCTTTATTGCAGCCACTACAAGACTAGGAGACAGTATAATGAGTCAGCTAACAGGGGGTGAATTTCAAAGTACAGATCAGTGTGAAAGAAGGCATAAGAGGGAAAAGAACATGGAACAGGCAAGAAAAAGAAATAGAGATCAGCTAGTGAAATGGTAGATTCCAAGCCAAATACATCAGAAATCACACTAAATGTAAAAGGACTACATAGCATAAAACTAAATAGGCTCACAGAAGAAAAATCAAACCGAGAAAGTAAAGTGTGGAAAGAATGCCTCCACACCCCCCCCCATCAACATCAGCTTCCTTATCCCATCAATGGAGGCAGCTGTTCAGCACCCTTTTTTTACCCATACACACGTACATATACATGCATGTACATATGTGTGTAGGCATGTGTATGCATGTACATATGCACATAGGCCTGTGTCTGTGTGTACATGCATATATGTAAACTTTAAGTTTCACAAAACAATATTTACTCTCGGGGCTCCTGGCTGGCTCAGTCGGTGGAGTGTGCAACTCTCAGTCTCAGGGTTGTGAGTTCGAGCCTCATGTTGGGTACAGAGATTATATAAGAAAAATAAAATCTTAAAACAATATTTACTCTTAATACATATAAGGTCTTCTGATATTCCTTCTGATATTCTATTTCATTTTAAAAGGCTAACTGAGACGAAGTTAGAGAAAGACAAATACGACACGATCCCACTTATATGTGGAATCTAAAAGAGTGGGACTCACAGAAACAGAGTATAATGGTGCTCGCCAGGGGCTCGGGGTGCGAAAATGGGGAGAGGTTGGTCAAAGGGACAAACTTTCAGTTGTATGAAGAGTAAGTTCAGGCGATTGTGATTAATGGTACTGTATTGTACACTTGTAATTTGCCGAGAGAATAACAGATCTTCGGTGTTCTCACCACACACAAGTGCATGCACGTGCACACACGCAGATGACTATGTGAGGTGATGCTGTGTTAAGCAGCTTGATCATGGTGCTCAGTTCACAATATATATGTATATTGAGCCATCATGCTGTCCACCTTAAGAATATATCATTTTCCCCTGTCAACTATACCTCAGTAAAGCTGAGGAGAAAAAACCCAGAGCTCTGAGCTAGTTTCACCTGCCAAACAAAAAGCCCCCCATGTCCCCCCCAGACGGCCCTTCTGATGTCTGGCCTGTTTCCTCCAGTGGCAAGGATGGGTCTGCCTCTCTCCCACCCCCGACTCCTGCCCCCTGGGCCACACGCTCTCATAAAATAGCACCCAGGCCTGAGCCTCAAGGCCTGCTTTCTGGGGACCCAGAACAAGACAGGCCTCCTTGGCGCAAAATTCACCCAAACGCTTGCCCTGATCCCAGCTGCTGCCCCCATGAGGACCTCCGTCATCCAGCCCCTTCCACTTCTCTGCCACCCAGTCCCCTGAACTCTGGGCTGCGTCCGTCCCAGGATGCGCCCCTCAGCCTCTTCATCCGGCCACCTCCGACTTCCTCCAGTCACAAAGACCAGAGAGAAGATGTCTTTTTTTGGAAGCACCTTCTCTGAGGTCTCTTGCAGAACAGCGTTGCTTCCGGCTATCACAGAGGCGCCTGAGCTAGAGAGAAAGCCTTTCTCTTCCCAGACTTCATAACCTCTCATTCTTTCGGGGCAGTTCCTTAGCAGGGTTTTCTGGTAAAAGCAGACGCACTCCGTGCCACCCCCTTCCCCAGCGCCCTGGGCTCCCGTGGCAGCCTGCTCCTTTCGCATCACATGAGAATGACCTCCCATCCCTCCCCCTGCACCCTGCGGGGTCAAGGGACCCAAGAGCATCCCCGGGAACACCCTGCTGAGAACAGAGGGGAGCAGGAGGAGCGATGGTGAGCAGGCACCCTACCTGGAGCTGCCTCATTGCCAGGAGGGCACAGAGAAAAGAGGAGAAAGAACAGGTCAGTGAGCAGTGAGCACACAACCTCCCGCACAGGGACCGCTTCTCCGGGGACCCTGCCCTGAGGATGGGGTTCTAATCCTTAGCCTCTCCTGCCTTCTGCACTGCCTCCCATGACTCAGAGGCCCCAAGTCTAGCCTAAGCCCCCTTGCCACGCTCACAGTGTTTATCCATGCGGTCCTAGGGAGGGTGGTGGGTTAGGTCACAGCCCTTGATAAAGGACATCTGGGTTTGTTGCAGAGTGGGGGGCTGCGGGGGCAGGTGAGCAGCCCCCAGGCTGGGTATTTTCAGTGGCAGTTAGGGACCTCTCTTTTCTGACCCATCATTGGGGGACATTTCAGCATCCGGAGCCAGGGGTGGTGGACAGAGCCAAATCCTGGAGGTGGGAGTCCCCGGGAGGCCGTGCTTACCTTCCAGATACTCGCTTCCTTGCCGTACACCACGGCCATGTTACTGGCCTTGCTGCCTTTGATGAGCTGCTTCTCCGTCTCGTTGAGCTCCTCAGACACGAAACCCATGAAGGAGTTGTCCGGGGTGTGAGCTACAGCCAGACCACAGGGTCAGGAAGGGGGCTGCTACCCAGCCAAGACCGCGCCCTGGGTCTACTTGGACTGGCCCCCTCAGAGGGGGCCCTGTTTGACAGGGATGGGGAAAGGGGGCTGGGAGGCACTGGGGCTGGTGGAGGAGGGGGAAGAGAACCCATCAGTGTCCCGGCCCCGGGCGTCTCCTTCTCCCAAAGACTGTCACAAAGCCTGGAGCAGAGGGAAAGCCTGGCCCCCCTGCTTGTTTGCAAACAGGCACAGTCAGGACCCTGCCCCGGTCAGAGTCCTCCCTCCCTGGTCAGAGTCCTCCCTCCCCAGCTGGCTCTGGCCCAAGGCTTTGGCTCCTCCCCTTTTCTCTCACTGCCGACACCCATCAGCAGAGCCTGTTACCCCGGTGGGATTTCCTCCATCACGGCCGCCCCAGCCCGGGGACCACCCTGTCTGTCCTGGGCCCCTGTGACTTGCTGCCTGCCCCCATTTCTGCCATTCTCTTGGCCTTGCCTTTTCTCCAGAGCAATCCTTTAAAATTAGGTCAGACCAGATTCCTCTGCACAAAAGCCTGCAGTGGCCCCAGAAGCCAACAGTCTACAGGATCTGCCCCCACTGCCCCTTTGACAGCTTCTCTTACTCCCTCCTGAGACCGTGCTGGGTACAGCCCCTCTGCGGACAAGTGTTGCTTCCAGGGTCCTGCCAAGAGGTCCTCCCTGGCCCTGGTCACTCTCTGTCCCTTACCTGCACTCACTGACCAGACATGATATTACATATCTAATTGATCGTTTATTGGTGTCAGAATATAAGCCCCGTGAGGGCAGGGCCTCTGATTCGCTCACTCCTGTCTCCCCAGCACCCGGGAGAGCCTGGCGCACTGGCTCATGAATGCGTGGACACGTCCTTCCCTTCCCGCCTCCAAGTTTTTGCCCTGCTGTTCCCTCTGCCTGGAGTGCTCTCCTCCCTTTCCTTGGATGAGAAAATTCTCTGCATGGGGTCCGGTGCCCTCCCTCTGTGGCTCCACCCCTGTGGTTCTGTCTCCGCTACAGTGCAGCCCACACTGGCTAGATGGGGAAGCAGGTCTGCTCATGAGTTCCTTCCTGGACTTGGTCTATCATTAAAACTGGCAAGACCTACTCAACTGTCCCCAGAACCCAGCACACGGGGAGCAGGGAATGTGTCTTAGCTCGTCCTCCTGTTCCTCGGCCATGCTAAGTAAGCTCTGTCTGCCACCATACACCTGCTGTAGGTTTGCAAGGCACAGGGTCCCTCCCTTCTGTGTACAGGACCTTGAAGAGAATGTTTGTTGAACCCAGTGAAATCTACTCTGCCCTCCTCAGCCGTGGAGGCTGTGCTGAGTAGGCTGGCAGAGGCCACATGTCCTTGATTTCCCAGAAGAACCCTGATGCCAAATACCCAATTCCTTATTTCAGACTCATGTTTTCACATTTTAGCATTTCTGAACTTGAGATGTATATACCTCAATCAAATGCATAGATTTAACATAGTATTTCCACCCACAACAAGTCATCATCAATGTCTGGAACATCGTAGGAGAAATGAAGGTTTCCTGCCTAAGTACCCCAGGAAGCGCACAGATTCTTGGGTCTGAAAGTCCAACTGTAAGGATGGGCCTTTGCTGACCGCAAAACAAAATGATCTTTCTTCTAGAGCTTCAAGAGCATAAGGAAGGCCTGGAGACCTGGAGTTACTTCTGATTGTCAGGGTGTGGGCAGCTCTCCTGTTTCAGGAGGCTCTGCCCAGGCTGGGGAGTGGCCCCAGGAGGGCAGACCAGACCCTCCCTCACCTGTTTGCCTGCCCAGCCCCCTTCTCTCCCTCCCTGCTGGCTCCGGCTAGGGCTGCCACCCAGGCTTCTCTCCTGCTTGCCAAGGCCTCCCTATTCACCAAGCTAAAGAATCCCTCATTCTACCAACTCTGCCCAGTTAACTAAACTAGTGGGTATGGAACAGGGAAATATCCAATCAATTAAAATAACAGGGACCATCAAGGAAAGAGCTCCCAACTCTCTGGGCAAAGGTGAGGCTGGAAGAGGCAGCCATCCTCCTCCCACTTAGCTCACTGGGGAAACCACCTGGCTAGATGCGGAAACAGGTCTGCTCGTAAATTCCTTCCTGGACTTGATACATCATTAAAACTGGCAAGCCTCTCTCTTCCTTTTTTGTTTTCGGTTTCTTTAATTTATTCAATCAATTAACATTTTCTGAGGACCTTGATAGGCTCCAGGGAGATAAGGATAAATCAATCAGTGGCCCCCTTTTGAGTGGCTCATAATCTATCAGGGAGGAATAAATGTAAAAGCAAATAACTCAAATATACTTCAACATACACTTTTACAGAATTGGATTTAAAAGGTATAAAAATAGAGGTGAAGGAGCAACAGCAGATGAGGGAATTGGTGAAAGTGGCAGTAAATAAAAGAGATATTTGGGTTGGGGTTTTAGCGGATGAGCAGGAGTTTGCCAGGTTTGGACCTCCACATCCAGTGGGCCCTACCCCATGTGAGGCTCATTTCCTCAGTGCAGATTATTGCAGAAGCCTCTTCCCCCTCTCTTGCTTCTCCCTCCTCTACCGCTGCCCCTTTGGCCATCTGCAATCTCCCAGAAAAACCTTTCTCTTGGGGCGCCTGGGTGGCTCAGTTGGTTGGGCATCCGACTCTTGATTTCAGCTCGGGTTGTGATCTTGGGGTCGTGATATCGAGTCCCACGTCGGGCTCCGTGCTCAGCATGGAGTCTCTTTGTCCCTCTCCCTCTGCCCCCCGCCCCGCCTCTCAAATAGATAAATAAAATCTTAAAAAACAAACAAATGAAAAAAAACCTTTTTCTCCATGACGTTCCCAGGCTCAGGAATCTACAGCGATTCTTGAATTACGGTATATGGCATAAATTCAGCAACAGGTGCTAGAAGACCCCCCCACTGCCCCCAGATCCTCCATGTCCCTCCTGCCAGCCTCAGAGCTTGATGCTTCCCTTGCAAGTGAGCTAACTGCCCAAGCTCTGTGCCCACCTCTGCTCTCTGCTATCACGTATGCTGCTTCCGCAGCCTAGAGCATCCCCACCACGACCCCCACCTCCTTCCCTCCACAGTCTGGTTCCCAGAGAGCCATGTGACCTCAGTCCTCTGGGCCTCAGTTCCCTCCGCTGGGCTCCGAAGAACCTGCCCACCTCCCCAACCTTCTGGAATCCAATCAAGCCATTACTTATGTGTCTAGAAATTGCATCTGCCTCTAATACTTCCTAGAACCTGGAGAGTAAGACAAAAAAGGACCCCAAGCGTCCCAAAGAGGTGCATTAATTTGACAGGCTAAATAAAGACCAGATACTTTACTTCTGAGCAAGTTCCTCGGGACCCTGCTCAGTTGGCTCTTAGTTTAGATACATCCTAACAAAAGGTGTTTATCTGGCTTTCTGACCCAGGGCCTTCAAAGAGCCACAAATTAGATGTGCAAGACGCTGCTGGAGGCAGATATACTGACGACAATTAGATGTGACAGCTGATAGCCTCCCAACGAGGAGAAAAAGCACCACATCAAACAGTGACAGGAGAAGGGGCCATTTAGCAAGGGCACCTGGCTCCGCACACCTCTGCTGTCCCCAAAGGGCAGGCTTGTGCACCACAGAGAGAGTGAGAATTGACCCTCAGTTGTCAAGAAAGGATTAAATTATTTTCAGCACACTGCACGTAAGGGGGCAAGTCAGTGAATGTATATATTTTAGACTCTCATTAAAAATAGCTAAAGCTCAGCTCTAAATGGCATTCCTTGCCTGACGCCCATCGTCAGAAGGTTTCCACAGGGGCTCCAGCCCCCAGCCTCACTTCCCATTATCCCCAATGTTGGAGACTACTGGAGCTCGTGCATTTCCAGAACCTTCCAGTTCTTTCCACATCTGTCTTCACTTCATCTGTTCCCTCCACTGAGAAGAGCCTGCCCGTCCTGCCCCTTTGTCACCCCCTAAAGTTCTCCAGTGTACTTCTGGCCTCTCTTTCTACAAGGTCACTGAATCCTCTTTGTTCTGGAATGTGCGCTCAGCAGCTCTCTGAGAGCGGCGTGTGATGCTGGAGGCAAAGGCCACGTCCTCCGTGTTGGAAAGGTCGCCACATTTCTCCTAAGCCAGGCTGGAAGCCCCACCCAGTCTGCTCCCCAGACACCACAAGAGACTTCCTCTCTGGCTCATATATTCGCGAAGGGCAAACCAGGTTTTCCTGGAGCGGGCAGGTGCCTGGGCCTGCCCCACTGCCACACCAGCCCGGAAAGGAAAGCCAGGGAGGGACAAGACCCTGCCTCCTCGCATGCACCCCTGCGAACCATGAGGAGGCCCCATCTGCCCCTGACCCCACCCATGCCCTGAGGCTGGGACACTCACGGAACATGGTCATGAACTGCTTGGGGTTGAGGTTCCAGTAGCCCCAGTTGGTCCGGTAGCCATGCAGCGTGGCGTACTCCTCATGGTTGTATGCGGGTTCTGTCCCGAAGGTGTCAATGACCCGGATTCGGCACCTGCTCCCCGCCCCGGAGGTGGGGGTACAAGGAACCAGGGTCAGCAACCTCTCGTGTCTCCCTGGGCTGGGTTGCCCCAGCGTGGGTGCTGGCACCAACCACTGGCCAGGTACTGCAATGTGTGGTCAGAGCTGGGGCCCAGACATTACCTAGCTGTGTGACCACAGGCCAAGTGCCTTAACCTCTCTGGGTCAGCTTCACCATCTGTTGACAACGGCCCAGCTGTCTCGGGGTTGTGTGGCTATGCCTGAACCATGGGCCACTCGCTCAGAAACTTAGTTATTATGGGGGCCCCAAGGGAGCCTAGGAGGGGGGGCACTGCCTGGACTGGGGGTCCCTCTCCCTGTAGGATTTGCACTTTCCTGAGCAGGCAGCAGCAGTAATTTGTGTTCACGGCCCCCCGACACCCCCAGGATGCCGCTGGCCTATCTGGGCTTCCTTTGGGAAGGCAGTGCTTTGAAGTGTCCTCTGCAAAGCAAGCTTGGCCACCTTAGATGCACCTCCCAGCTGGGCAGAGGCTCTGTCGCTGCCCCAAAACCTCCCCCTCCATCCGTCCCACCCCCCGGGGTGTGGGCACCTGAAGGAAACGGTGGAGACACAGACAGCGCCCCCCCCCCAAGGAGCTCCCTCCTCACCCCACATCCTTCCCGGTGACCCAGAATTATCCACAGACTGCTGAGGTCAGCACTATTCCCCCAGAGAAGGGGCAGGGGGCGGGAGGCGGAGGCACCGAGTGCATGAAGAACCCGCATTAATAATAAAAGCAATAACGCCGCCTGTCACTTTTTTTTCCTAATAAAATTATGTGGGATAGTCAACGGGACTGGAGCAAATGTAATAAATAGCAGGGCTCTCTGTGCTAAATTAAACCCCGTATCCTGCTGGCTGCAGAGACTGGGAGAGATGGCACTGGCCTTCCTTCAGACCCAGGGGCGTGGAGTGGAGGGAGGGAGGAGGAGGGGTGCTGAGCCCCCCCAAGCTGAGGTCACACCCCAGTTGAGTGTCCCATTCCTTTCCCCTCTGCCATTCCCCTGCACCACCCCCCCCCCGCATCCAGATAACCTCTGAGCCCCACCCCAGGCTGCCCCGCAGCAGAGAGGCACCGAAGTGACTCCCACTCTGAGCCGGGAGGCAGAGCTCCTTGGGGCAGGACAGTAATGGGGGAGGGGGAAAGAGAGGAAGAGCGAGCCTCCCCCCCCACACACAGGACCCGGGACAAGGCGGTTCCCCCACCCTGGGGACTAGCTGGCAGGGGGCGAGGGGAGGGCTCCTCTGGGGCCCGGGGTGGGGCACCGCCCGCCTGTACCCTTGTACCGGTATTTCTTGAAGGACAGTCCCATGTGCTGCTTCATCTGCTGCAGGCCGTGGTAGTCAGTGTAGATGAGGTCGAAAGGCAGGGGCATGGTGAGCGGACAGTTCCCCCGGCCTGGCGGCACCCCTAAGTTACTGAGAGAAGAGTCCTTCAGAGTCTGAGCCCCAAGAGGGACCCACAGGCAGCAGAAACCCACCTTCCCAACCAGCCTTGCATCTGGGGCACCTGGAGCCACCTCAGTTCCTATAGCCCAGGAGAAACATGGGGGAGGGGCCCTGTAAAGGGACGCGAGGTTGGCACATGAGCGCTGGCAGACTTGGAAAGCAAGTGAACGGGGTGGCCATGTCCGGTTGTGTAGGTTTTTCACGGCACGAGAGACTCCAATGAGAGGAAGCATGACTGAGATCCAGCCTGGGCTAGCTTGCCAAGCTGTGCCCCTGGCCTGGGCTACCCGCCGGGTAGAAGGAGCACCTTTTGTTAATTTGCACAAATGTGCTCCCTGCAGGGCTGTGTCCACCCAGAGGGGGCACCTTTATCTAGCGTTCACAAATTGCCATAAATGCTCGCTATTGTCCTTAGTGCAGCTTCAGTGTTTGGAGCAGAAAGCCCTGCCTCAGAAGACATAATTCTGCTCTGCTGACCGGCTCGTGGCCCACGGAGATGCCCAGCCCTGCCCCACAAGGTCAGCCTACCTGCCAGATCATGTACACACGGTTTTCCTCTGGTGACCCAGTGCCAGAGACTTTGGGTCATCTCTCTGGAGCCTAGTGGACCCGGTCTCAGCTGCCAGGGTAAATTCCTTTGCCTGGGACTCCCCTGCCCACCGTCCAGGAGCCCCGGCTTGGCCTGAAAACCCACTCCTCTGAGGGGACGAGGAGGCATTTAGCTTGCCCATTCAGTAAGTCTGTCCTGAGCCCCTGAGCCAGGCAGGGAGTAGAAAAGCGCCCCTTTCTTTGGAGACCCCACGGCAGCCACCCACCTCCCCTGAATTCCCATCTCCCTGGGATTCGTGGTCCAGACGGCTGCACTGGAAGGGGTCCAGGAGACCTCCCAGTGAGCCCCTTCAGGATCCATGTGAAGAGCAGACTCAGACAGGGTAGGTGAGGAGCTCTGACAAGGTCACTGGCTCATCAACGGCAAAGGGCCATGATGGATGAGCTCCCTGGGTCACATCTCGGGCTCCTAGAGCCCGTTCAAGCAGGTGGAAAAGTACCAGCCTGGACGTCTTTGCACTCTGTTTGCTCATGTTCTGCACGTCACCATCAGAAGCTGGGGAGGGGGGCGCTGCGTGCACTGTCCCCTGAGCACACCGCCAGAAGTTTATGGTAACCAGATGACAAGGCCATGATGGAAAGATGTCAGGGGAGGCTGCGGGTGACGTGTGATGGGGATGGAGGCATCAGGGGTCGGCCGTGCCCTGCAGAGAAGGGCAGCAAGAGGGGAGGGGCTGTCCCTGTGCCTGCTCCCCACTAGCCAGTGCACCCCAGCCTCACCCAGCTCCCCCCGCCAGGTTAGAACCTTGGCTGCTAAGTGCTAAGAGGAGAATGCAAAAACCTAATAACCAGTGTCTCGTATGTCTAATCTACATAGGGAACAGTGGCCAAGGGCTGCCTCCCCCACTCGTCCAGCTCCTATGCGTCCCCTCTGTGCCACCAGACCACCACACGGGATGCTCAAAAACAGGACATTTAAGGCAGGGGAGGCTTCGTGAGCCTTTTTCTATGGAAATACCCAGAAAGCAAACGAGAATAAGCACAGACCGCAGGGGTCTGGAGCCATCACAGGAAACGGCTCCCACAGCCTGGAGACCTCATGAAATATTTGGTGGTATTTTTAAGCGTGGAGCAGATTTTGCCTTCTACTCTGTAGGACATCCCTACGTCCCTCTTCAAGCATGGGCTTTCTCTCACCCCCACAAACTCCTCCGGTAAGACAGATGGCCCCACAAAGAAGCAACATTTTTGCTCCGGGCCACAGAAGCTCCAGGAACAGACAGACACAATCCTCTTCCCCCACCTCCCTCCGCTCAGTGCAGAGCCACGGGAGGAAGGACAAAATGATGATTCCGTTGTCACTTCCTTGCAGAAACCAGGAAGGCGGTGGCTGCCCCTCCCACAGGGAACTGGGGCCTGGGAAAATTAACTAACAATCCTGAAAGTATCAACTGTAGGTGGGTCCACTTGCTGCCACCTGTACCGCAACAGGACTACTTTCCCACGTTACATTTCTGGTTGGTTTCCAGGCAACGTGTCCCTCTGCGGGCAGGTGTGGTGCCAACAAAGTCAGGCAGGCTTCCTTCCATTGCCCCATTACTGCCCACAGCCCTGGCCTCTGCCCCAAACCCCAGGACCACCGAGAGGCCAGATGAGCAGCTCTCCCTGGGAGGAAGACTCCGCCCTGCCATCGTCTGCGTCATCTGGGCAACCACCCTACGAGATCAGACCCATTCTTATCCTGCTCTCCTCTTTAGAGATGAGGAAACAGGGAGGGTTGGTAATTTACCCAGGACTGCACAGCCAGGAAGCCGTGGAGCTGGGACTGGAACCTGGGCAGTCGGGCTCTGGAGCCCACCTTGCCACCCGCTAAGCTCTCCTGCCCCCCCCGGGCCGGCCAGGTGGCAGACAGTAGGACGGTGGATGGTGGGGCCTCAGTGCCATCCCCGAAATCCGAGCCCCCGCTGCTAGCAGAGATTGGGCTCCGGTCCCAGTTCCCCGGGGTTCGGAGAACTCATAAACCTCCTGGAGTTTCATCTTTCTTCTCAGCAACAAATAAAAATGGCTCTGTCACAGGGTTCCTGGTAAGACTGACGGAGGCGAGGCGAGTGAAAGTCCCACTAATTATCCTTTCCTCTTGTCATCCGTTCTGCCTTCTGAACTTCCGGGCCCAGCCACTCCTTCCTGACCCCCAGACGCCACCTGCGCACGCCCCGCCCCACTTAAGGCCCTGTCATTTCTCACCTTGAATCTTGAGATAATATCCTCTCTGCTCTGTGCCCCTTCAGTCTTGTCTCTTTTCTAGAGAGATCTTTCCACAATGTAAACCTGATTCTAATCCCTCCCAGAAGACTTCTCACCTCCTGGTCCTTGCCTCCTCCTCCTCCAGGAAGCCCTCCTCGGACCCCTGGACAGAGAGATGCGCAGCCCCTGTGCTCCCCCACCGCTTGCTACAAACCCCTCTCCTGCACCATCCAGAGTCACCTCCTCACCACCGGGGTCCATGCGGACAGGGGCCAGGGCATCTTTGAAAACCCAGAGCCGGGACAGGACCTGGGCCAACAAGCACCTGCTGTGTTCAGGAACAAATGAGCAAACCAGTGAGTCAGGTGAACCCCCTTAGGAAGAACTGGTTTAAAGGTTGAAGATGTGGCCAAGGAAAGCATATCCGGAGAGAGACAGTGGGTGGGGGATGCTCAAGGCTGATGGGCGTCTCGGCTCTCGGCTCTTCGCGGGGGTGGAGGGGGGTCTCCTGGACACCTCGGGACAGGGACACCAGTGGCCCCATGTACCCTACAAAGCCATCCCGCAGGAAGGAGAGGAGGAGACAGAAACTGGCCCAAAGACTGCGGGTACCTCTCCCAGGGGGAGTTAACGAGGGGCCGTCCGGGGTTCCCAGCCCTAGAAAACAAGGGTTTTCCATTTAAAGCAACTTCAGTGGAGAGAAGTGTCTGCAGCTGCCTCATCCCTCTGGTCACAGGGCCTCGGAGCCCACCCGGAGGACAGCGGAGAGGGGCGGCCACGGGGAAGGGGCTGTGCTTCCATCGCCTGTAATTTCAGGTCGCTTTTACGGGCAATTTTACGCTAAGTGGTCGGTCGGAGCAGTGACATGAGCTGAAAAACGCCGTCTCCAGACGACCTTCAGCCAAAGGTGCCCACAGAGCTTCCGCTGTACACAACCACCTTCCGTGCTGACACCTCAAAGGCCCCTGTCTAGACGGTTTCTTCTTTCCACTGCCAAGTTCCTCATTCCCCTTCGGACTCTTCGCCCAGGGCTGTGTCAGGGGAAGAGGGGACATCGCGAAGCCTCCGCAGCCCCAGCACACCGTGGGGCCACAGGATGGGTGGGTCTGGTAGGGAGAGACAGCAGCTCCCGGGGCAGGGGCCTCCCACGCCTCCACCCAGCGCTGCCCGCTACCCTACACCACGCTTGGGAAGGATGGGGGAGTCTACATGGAATTGCCAAGCTGGGTGGCTGGAATGTATCTCTAAATGTCCCCAGGCCCCCTGCATGGGAGCCTGAATTCAGGACGAAAGGGGTGGGGGAAGGGGGTGACCTCAGGAAACCATGCTTTTCTACAGCTCGCCTGGCTATCATGGGGCCCCCACACTCAACCCAAATCAATCCACCTGTAAGAGCCACCCTGTGGTGGGGAGCAATGGGGAGTTAGTGTTTAATGGGGGCAGAGTTCCAGTTTGGGAGGATGAGAACGTCCTGGAGAGGGATGGCAGAGTGATGGTTGTATAACCTCGTGAATGTCCTTAATACCACTGAACCGTACACTTAAAAATGGTCAGGGGAGTAAATCTTGTTATGTGTATTTGACTATACATGTTTTAAAAAGCCAAACTGTTCACACGCAGGGGCCTGTGCCCAGCCCCACAAGGATATGCCGTGTCGCCATCTTCTCTAGCACCCCTGGACTCCCAGCGGGCCATAATGTAGGGGCACAGCACGTATCCAGAGAAGGGGAGACTCAGTTACTCTTTGCTGAAAGATCAAAAGGTAGGATGTGGAGATGGGACAAGGAGGCAGGGAGAACAAGTCTATGATCAATTAAAAAAAAAAAATCCTCGGGCGCCTGGGTGGCTCAGTTGGTTAAGCGACTGCCTTCGGCTCAGGTCATGATCCTGGAGTCCCGGGATCGAGTCCCACATCGGGCTCCCTGCTCAGCGGGGAGTCTGCTTCTCCCTCTGACCCTCTTCCCTCTCTCATGCTCTCTCTCATTCTCTCTCTCTCAAATAAATAAATAAAAAATCTTAAAAAAAAAAAATCCTCGGGGCGCCTGGGTGGCTCAGTGGTTGAACGTCCGACTCTTGATTTCGGCTCAGGTCATGATCTCAGGGTCATGGGATGGAGCCCTGCAATGGGCTCTGCACTCAGTGGGGAGTCTGCTGGAGATTCTCACTCTCCTTCTGCC